GAAAATTATTAGCATCTTATAGAGACTCTATTCATAAATAACATCTTTAAATTTAGCCCATATTTGATGCACAATTTGGGAGTAAGAATACATTTTTACTGTTGATGTGATGGGGAATATGTAGTTGAAAAAGAAGGAAAAGTTATTGATGTGATAGAAAATATTATTTTATTGAAAAATATGTGGATGAAAATGAGTAGAAGAATGATAATGAAAATTAGAATGTGGCTCAAACTTCATCTGCCTCAGTCCTCCCTCACTCAGAAGCAAGGGGAAAGAAATCGCACTTGTGATCAAAGTCATAATCCATGATTCCCTGATATAGTTTAAAAAGAATTAAGACTCGGGCATCAAGAACAAGAATTTTTCGAGATTTTACGAGCAGTAAATAACAAGGTACATGCCACAAAAAGCCAGTGGCCATATTGCATATAAGAATGAAAAAGTTTCGACGCATAATTAGCAGATCAATGAAAAGAATTTCATCATCTAAAAGTCTCATCCACATTATAAAAGACATTAGCATACATGACAAGAAACCACACGTTTGTGGGTACCCTGACGACTTCAACCTTAACAAAACAAAGAAAATCAAGTCACGACGCATTAACAAAGAGCCATATCTAAGAAACAAACCTTTCACCCATAGACAGAGAAGGCACGTCCGAGCATCCCCTGGGTCCATGTGGCTGTTTCTTTCAGCTGTTCATCATCGGACTGAAGACACTCGCCTAATAATTCTGTGAAGAATGCACGATCTTTGAATATCGTCTTTATGTTTGAACCAAGTGCATCTGCTAGGTCACCCAAAACTGCAACTGCTGCTTTTGTTACACTCTCGTCCCTAACATGCACCATGTAAGACATATTAGAATGTTCAGACATTCCACATAATGAGAAATAAATACATAGATAATTGCCAAAATGAGTGAAAATACCTATGCCGGTCGTTGGCAACCAGTTCAATAAACTGTAAGAGATGAGGAGCATGAGGTAACATCAAATCAGCTTTGGAATTTTTAAATCCCTGAAGAATCCCAGAATATGCCTCAAAAATACTGCGCCTGAGCTGGTTACCATAGTCCACCATCTCCTCATCATTATCGTCCATTTGGGCACACACTTCAGAAGCACTTTGCATCATTGGCAGTGCATAACTGATGTACTTCTCAAAGTGCTCGCCAATTGCTAAAGCAATATCCCCAAAGCAGGAGAATATAGGAGGCTTCACGGACCGATGGAGTTCACCACTGGAGAGATCCTTCAGGAGAAGTGTCATGATCCCATCACAATATGGTAAGACCTTGTCGTCCAAAGCGCGGCAAATGTCACCCACAACCCCAACTGAGATGGCACAAACCTGATACTCCTCAAAATTCTGCAGGCCCATCTCCAGATACTTGTAGAACTCTTGCATGTACTTCCCAAAATCGGGCCCAGTGGCATAGGCCAGTGCACCAATTGCAAGCATAGCTTCTTCATGTACAGTAGAACTACGACAAGCAAACACATTAAGGAACAATACCATGATCTGGTCAGCTGCCTGGAGTATGATGGGCTTGGTTTCATCTGCACTGCTTAGTTTTTGAATAATTACCTGAAGCACGCCACAAAGAGAGGCTTGAAGATCTCCTTGCTTTTCCCTGTCATCAGATGACACTATTTGAAGATTTGAAGTTTGTTCTAGCTTAGACATCATAACAGGCAGAAGTTCGACGATCATCTGAGATGTCTCTGCAAGGTTTGAACACCTAACAACCTCATTCAAGGTTTCATATGCAGAAGACCTTAGCTTGGAATCACTGCTATCTGTTCGATCAGCAGTGACAATAAGATTAGTTATGATATCTCGAAGGAAAGGTGTGAGCAGAGAGGAGCTTGTCCCTGCATCCTCGTACCCCTGAGCAATATAATAGATAGCTCCACAGACCTTCTCGGCCACATGTGGTGCATCTTTTATACTATCCAGCAGGACCCCCAAAATCCTCTGGAGGTTAGCAGGGGTAACCACAGAGAAACCAGTAGCTGGTGAGTGCAATAACTCAAAGATACGGCTAAGTGTCCATGCAGTTGTATCTTTCACATGGCCGTTTGCATCCTTCATTGCACTGAGCAGAAAATCTAAGCCAGCATTTACCATAGGAGAAAGCTTTTCAGTACTTGGTCCTTCGAGGATTGAACCAAAAGCATATGTGGCTGCCTCACGAGCTCGCCACTCGGTCTTCGAAATGTTAGCCTCAACAAAAGGCATTACCAGGGGCACAACAGCATCCCCAACAGTCCTAGCAACAAGACAGAGACATGTCCCACCAGCCATGGCCAGATTCCATGTTCCATCATCTTGGTCCTGATCCTCATCCTGCTTAAGCAATGTTTCTAGCAGCATAGGAACTAAAGTTGGAAGAGCCTTTTCAATGAAGCGAGAGTGTGGAGCACTTGAATCCCCACTCTCAGGTACCTCATAGTCTTGAAGCTCCATTTCTTCATCACAGATGGAGCTCCAAAACTCAACTGCCTGAAGGGCAACAGCCTCCTCATCTCCTTTGACTGCACTGGATGTAAGCTCAAAGATTCTTAGCATATAAGGTTCAAGCACCTCATAGTATGTTGCTGCAATAGAAACAAGACACTCAAAAGCAGCCTGTCTAATCTCTGTTTCTTTTGCCAAGGCTGCATCACAAATCACCTTCATAATATAGTTCCTCTCCATCTCATTCTCAAAGTTGGTCTGGGCAAAATCAAGGGCATTGTACAAAGCTCTGGTTGCAGCAAGCCGGACCTCTGGGTTTGCCTCAGTAACATTCATGCCTTGAACAACAGCTGTGAGAATAGCATTTACTTCATCTTGCACAAGATCATGGTGAGATATCTCCTCACACACATAGCCAAGTGTTTCCAGTGTTGCCTGTTTCAGGGACGCAGGTCTATCTGGTTGGGTCATATTTGCAAGTAATAAGCCAATAAGTTCTGGCCATTCTTTCCTGGGAATTTCAATCGAAGCTATCTTAGCAATTACTTGGGCAGCAGTATGACATGCCTCACTTACAGAAGATCCAAGAGTGTTTAGGAGAAAGCTTTTTATCTGGGATTTAATAGAAATGTCTATCGACACCCATTGTTGAATGAGATTTTCCTTCCTTGCAGCTTCTTTGGCATCCAAGGAGTTCTTAAGGACAATACCGGCAAGTCTGCGAGACTGTGTTGGTTTGCCATCGTTTGAGAGCTCGACAGATAATGACAAAAGAAATCCCGGTAAATTTTGGTCCCTGAACTGACCAAGAGCACTCTCTGCCTCTGTTCGAATTTTTGCATCTGGTGATTGAGCAGCCAATAGATACTGGGTGATCTCCAGGGCCATTTTCCCTACAAAAGAAAGAAAATACTACATGAGGCATTAAGTAAGTCTACTTTTAAATAGGCATTTCAATCCCAGAAGTCAAACAAAAAGTGATGAAGGATGAAAAAACAGTTAACAATATGAACAGCTCTATTTTCAGCCAAAAAATATCATGGACTCAAAGATTTCATCCTCGAGCATATAGACAAAATATATGAAAAACAATTTCCCATAAGAATCCAAAATAAATCACCAAATGATTATCAGAGTCCCATGTGCCCTATAACCAAACACAAGAACTTTAGCTAAGCATAAGCACAGCTCTAGCTATTCAACTTTATCTTCAAAAAGTATCAATCAACAATTTATCCTAAAACAAAATTGAGAAAACTACAGAATATATAGAAATCAAAGTAGCGAGCAGAAGCCTAATTAATTTCGAATGAAAAGCACACATTTATTAAACCCTAGACCATCAAAACAACAAATTCAAATTAAATTTAATAAAACTAAAAAACGCCATAGATCTGAAACAAAACAACGAAAAACAGAAAAAATACCTCAAATAAAAGCCGCAAAATCAAAATAACTTCGATTGCAATTGCAGTAGCTAGGGTTTTTCCCTCTCCTCTCTTCCTCAAACCGCTTCTAGAAGCGAATTGGACACGTACTCCTCGACTAAATACCGTGTCTCTTCGTACCTATTTGTTATAGATAGTATAGATAGAGAAAACTGAGTATAATCTGGTGTGTGAAGAGACTGATTTCGAATGCAGGGAATAAGCGGGAGGAGCGGGCTTAAGGGGTGGCTTAATAAGTGAATAAAATCCAACGGGCAGTATTGCCCGGGCTGCCCGGATCACATAATTAAAACCCTAGCCCTGTTTTGAAAATTCGCACATGTGTGTGCCTCGTGTGATATTCAAATCTGTTGGGCCGGAAGTGGATCAGGAGCCTGTCCCCTGTAATTCACAAGGGGGAATTAGGTCCAGTACGGCCCAAAAGCAACAAAATTGAATAATACGCTTTTACACAAATTAAACAATTTAAAACGTAATCAATACGTCTAAAGTCCCAAAACCCAAAATGTAAAGAGAGAGAACCAGTGGTGTTTCTTCAACTTTTTCCCATTTTCATTATCGTAACAGGATGGTGGAGCTCAGCCGGCAGCACCGTGATGTAAGAACCACGCCTCCACCACCGTCCTCATAGCTGCATCAACTATGTGTTGTTTTTGCCTTGATGAACACTAACCAATTGCCAAAATAAGTAGAAGATAACCATAAATCTCTGTTTTTTCTTGGGATTTGAGGTTAAGTATTGAACCTTTGGTCGTCAAAATTTTATAGAAGGGAAAATTACCAATATTGAACAATAAATGTGATTAAATGCAAAGAAAGTGCTCATTGACGGAAACAAGTAGTTAAATTTACAAGGTGATAAATGCTAGTATTGCTTTTTTTGCATGTGTTCTTTTGTTCCATTGTAACTAAGACAGTTGAATTGTTATTTAGGCATAGACTCTTGTCTCGATAGGCCATAGAAAAAACTCTAGAATTTTCACAATTGAAATTGAAAGTATCACTCATGGTTAGGCTACATGTGTATGAAGTGTTTGATAATTTGTCTCAATGGGGGGTATTGGGCTTTGTTCAATTTTGGGAAGATACTGACATTAAGTTCAGGTGAGTTGCAAATGGGAAGACACAGGAGTAATACATATTGTTTACGTAAGAATAATAGTTGTTCCACAAAAAAATTATATTAGAAAATTGCAGTGTCAGCATATTTGCAATGTTTAGTTGCAAATGACATTTGCTCATGATATGATTTGTTGTTGGAACACTACAGAATTTCAATATGGTGATTAAGGTGTCAATAACTCCATATTAGGCATGATGATTCTCTAATGTCCAAGGAATTATCATTTTTTTTTACCTCTTCCTAGTAGAGTTTCAAATTTCAATAAGATTTGATTTTTATTTTTCTTCAGAATTAGGTATGAGCGTATGTTGGAACTTTGGGTTTTCAAAATTTTATAGGAGAGATTACCAGTATTGTTCTTAGGTAAAAAGCAATATCCTATTTTTATTTTTCTTTGCAGCATCTGTTGGGTTATTAGTTATGCTTAATAAATGGTTTGTCACTATAAGTTGTCTTGTTCTTAAAATAAAGTTATATTATATGTTTAATTAATACAAGTGAACAAAAAAGTGACATAGAGAAAAAAAATCAACCATCCCTTGAATCTATTTTAAGGTTCTGATTTGTGTTTATCACTTTTTTGAGTGTTCGTCACTTTTTCAATTGAAGCTATTTTGGTGTGATCAATACATGGACCATTTTCTTGAGTGGGTATAATGTCACTTTTTTAAAAAAGTGACACTTTTTTTAATGTTGTATCACTTTTAAAAATTTTTGTCACTTTTTTTAGTGTCGTCACTTTTTTATTTTTAATTTCTATCACTTCTTTTAGTTTCTGTCATTTTTTTGAACGTTTGTCATTTTTTTTAAATTTATGTCACTTTTTTAGTATTTGTCACTTTTGTTTTGCCTTTTGTTTTGTGTAAACAAAAGTAATAGAAGGAATTTTAGTGTGGAAGTTACGGCCCTATTGGTAGAAGTTGGAAAGCAATGTTGTTGCCATGAATAATTATTTTTTTCCTCTACCTTCTTGAACTTAATAATATTTGATTTCTAATTCCCAGCATTTCTGATAAATTAATTCTATTTTTCTATCCTAAATCATCGGTTTAAATTCTTACACTTTATTCGAAGCATTTTTGAATCTACCAGTACTTGTTGATTCTAACTCAATTTTATTCATCAGTTTGTCACTTTTTTATATTTATTTCACCAATAAATCTGTTGAGATTCGTGAAGAAAGTTGGATGTTTTGGAAGTGCTATGGAGATGTTTAACTTGGACTTTGGAAACGTGACAACGTATTCTGTCATACCTCAACTGGGCAAATAATAACTTAATTGTGTTACACCAACATGAAAATTGTCAATTTGTCTTTTTTTTTTTAATTTATGTCATTTTTTTTAGTGTTTGCTACTTTTTATTAATTTTTTTATCATTTTTTTAATGTTTGTTACTTTGTTTGTCAATTCTTTGAAAGTTCTATCACTTTTTTGAGTGACAAATATAATTTTTTTAATAAAAGTGATATTGTATAAAAAATGACACTTCACTTTCAAAAGTGACAGTACGTCACTTTTTTTTTATTGTCACATTTTCTATTAAAAAAAGTGACAATTAATTTTATACAGTATTTTTTTTCTTCCAAAATATATTTCATATGATTTTTCAAAATATCCTTAATTTTAAGGGTATTTTTATAAGTACCCCTAATTCACAATATACATTGGGCTCCTTCGGGTTGGTTTGATCCTATTTTTTGAAATAATCTTTTTTTCTTACACTTATTTACAACCACACATTCTTTCGATAAAATATTTTACGCGTAAACTCAAAAAAATTTCTTACTTTTTATTCATGCATTTTTAAAAAATTCTCTATTTTAAAATTCATTTTCCTACTTTAATGGTAGACAAACAAGGGTTTAACGTTATTTGTAATCAGTATTTACCTATCAATAGTCCACGTGATATGATCGCATTCTTCAAAAGAATAAATTAATAAATTTATTTTTATTAAAAATTAACTTATATATTAATTTAATTTTTAATTATTTATTTAGGATTCATTTGCATTATTTTGAAAAAATTGAGACTACAGTTGCAATTAATTATTTATTTTTATGATATTCAAATCTGTTGGGCCGGAAGTGGATCAGGAGCCTGTCCCCTGTAATTCACAATATACATTGGGCTCTTTCGGGTTGGTTTGATCCTATTTTTTGAAATAATTTTTTTTTCTTACACTTGTTTACAGCCACACATTCTTCTAATGAAATATTTTATGCGTAAAATCAAAAAAAAATTCTTACTTTTTATTCATGCATTTTTTCAAAAATTCTCTATTTAAATATTCATTTTCCTACTTTAATGGTAGATAAACAAAGGTTTAATGTTATTTGTAAGCGGTATTTACCTATCAACAGTCCATGTGATAGGATCGCATTCTTCAAAAATTATTTAATTATTTAAATAAAAATATAAAAATTAAATTATATGTTCATTTAATTTTTTAATTACTTATTTAGAATTCATTTGCATTATTTTGAAAAAATTGAAACTACAGTTGTAATTAATTCTTTATTTTTTTCTTCTATTCTTTTTGTTTTGTTTAAAGAAGAGGATATATTTGTCATTTTACAAAGCTTTATTGAGAAAATAGAAGAAAATATTGTATTCGGCAAAGAAAATGTCATATATAAAGATTTTTTGTCAAAATAAAAGGATTTTGTGCCAATTACCCAAAAAATAAAGCCTAATTTATTTTTACTGTTGTCGAATTTTTTGGTTAATTGACCTTCAAATTTTCTTATGCAAGCTGAATTTTTCTAAACGTAAAGATACCAAAATTTTTTGGCTTTGTAAGCAATTGAGTTTTTCAATATTCTCAGAGTTAGAGAGTTCCCTACGCCGAGCTTTTCACATTGCACACTTTCATCTTCAATCCCCACCGAAATAAGGGAACAATACATAAATCCTACATATAAGAATTACATTTTAAAAATAACAAACTCCAAAATTCTTTTCAAAAATCGGG